CGAAAAGCCTTGCCGATAATTGAACGCGTCGCTCCTCTCCGCGCGCGGGAGCTTTCCTATGAATCGATATTATCTGTCTTATATATCCGGCGAAACGTCGAGTCACACCGCCGCACCGTCTGTCGGAGGATTCCGCTCTACAATCCAAACCTCGACCTAGATCTCTCGTGACTTTCGATTTTCAGGAGCCCGTTTTCAGGGGGTTTTTAAGAAACCGTCCGTGAAGAGGAGACGAGCGTAAAAAGCTGCATCCACGAGCGCGCTAGTTGTTTTTTTATACCCGCATCATCGCGTCGTAACCGAAAGCCCGCCCGTCCGTCGGGATTTCGGGCGTTAACCGAAGCACAATCTTTACGATCTATATACTTGTTTCTCGACCTGCGAGCGAAGCGCGGGAGAAGCTAATAAGAACTCGCGTTTTCTTTGCGCCTCTGTGAGTGCTCTTTCTTTCTTCTTTCTCTCCCGCGCCCGTCGCTCTTCTTTCATCAAATTTCGCTCAAGCGTCTCCATCGTCGAGGAACTTGCGAAGTAGCCGAGTAACATGTTTGTTTCTCCACCGGGCGAATTCCCCCGACATTCTCACTCTATCTTTACCGCGTAACTATAAGACGCGACCATTCTTCGGCCGATTTAATTTCGGATAATTCGCGCGCTGCAGACTATACGAGTTTCGTCCGCTTCGTCCCGAACAATGGGCGATTCAGTCGAGAAGAAAGGGTTCTAACTAACTAATGTACAAAGCTGGGCCGATCGTCCCGCTCGGCGAGACCGCTCGATGATTGTGAGCGCAAGACGGAGAGGAGTCGCGCGTTTTGAATCATGCAAACTTACAGACGTCCTTAATTATTTTCGCGACTTTTCCTAGAACGTTCGCCGAGACCGGTTACAATCGGGCTTTACACTGCTTTAACGTCTCTCTCGAACTATGATTTCACCCGAGCTCGCCGAGATGAAAACATAAAATTGTCTTCACGACTGAGATAGGAATAATGAGGTAAAAAAGTACAAACTCCGTCGTTTTGTGCTCCGTCAACTGAAAGGGCGCGTACATAAGTGTTAGTTGTAAAATGTTTGTTGAAATTAAATACACGATGGCTATCCATCAAACGATTTTCCTCTTATTATCTAGATAAAGTAAGCGCCTCAAGCTTTGATACACAAAAGTGTTCGAACAGAACACAATTATCGATTATAAGTTCATAATGTTTTACTCTTCCAATGTTCTGCTTTCGTTAATAAATTACGTTATAACATTATTGCTTGTTATACCGTTTGATGAAAATTTCTTAAAAAATGTTTATAAGGCGAAACAACTTTTGAAAATGATTTACTCGCGTAAAGATTGATCGGAACATGCTTAAATTATATCGCCAGAAGTATCGAAAATTATCAGCACGATACATTTCCGTCGAGTGCCGTGCTGACGGCAAAATTTGATTATAATAATACTCGCGGTAATTAAAGTGGAGTATAGATAAAGTAAGCTTAGTATATATAATATAGTAAGATTGCACGTATTGTTCTCTGCATTGCTGAAAGCTCGCTAAGTCGAATTTTGTTTTCAAGTCGGTAACATAAAAAAAATATAACAATTTTTCCGCGATTGGAATAATCCCTCGAGTTATTCTATATTGCGAGGAAAGAATAGCGCGCCGAGCGAGATGGATCGGAGCATAATCCAGATCCACTCGAGAAGTGAATACTGAATACATTACGGATCTAATGCAGTTCGCACATAAATTAACATACATCGTTGAGGAGTCGCCGCGCTGCAAAATCTTCTTAAAGTTTCAATGGGCCGCGAAAACTTTTCGTCGAAATGAAAATTTGCCAGAACTTTTCTCTTGCGTAAGGCGAATCGATCGTGTCTATATCAGTATCAGTGACTTTGGTTCTTCTGCATCACGTTAAGATGAGTGTTACGGGAGTTTTTGAAGTAATGAAAACGCTGCATTAATTCTATAAATTTATCGAGAAAAAAAATATTTATTGTGTGTTCGCGCAAACATTAGTTACGTTAAGAAAATTCATCCCCCAACTACTCTGCACAACACCGTGAAATATTAATTAATTTCATTAAATATCTCAACGGATTATATCTTTTAATTTTACTTATTATTCTTATTAAATCTGATTTCGTTGTTCCAAACTTAAGCTCCGAAAATAATCCTCATCTAAAGATGATTCTCGAATCTCATGCTTTGTTTATCTTGTCGCTACTAATCATTTTTTTTCTCGGAAAATGTACTTGCAGCGAGCCGCTTGTTTTCCGTCGGATCATCTATGCTTCGCGATCGTGCATCTTTCTGTCGATCAAAAGTGAATATCATGTGCGAACGAATATCGGGAGATAAGGTAAATGTACCCATTACTGAACATGTATCTATATCTGAACAATTACACAAAAACTTATTTTTAAATGCTTTTTTTCATAATATTATAATTTAATTGTAATCTTTAAATATTTTTACAATTAAATTTTAATATTATAATAAAAAAAGCATTTGAGATTAATAAATTTTGTGTACGTGTTCAGATCTAGATACACGTTCGGTCACTGCAACTGGTACGTTTACCTTAATGCATTTTCACGACGCGACTCTTCTTCGTAATATTTCGCCGCGAGATACGCGTGGGCAGGATTCGAAATACTAAATGAATGTATTTGCGCGAGAGTAACGGTGTAATAAAGCGTGTGTGCATGCACGACGTTGACAAATAACTGAATAACACGAGAGAGACAGATTAATTTCGTCCGCGAGACGCGCGTGTTGCGCGTCTCGCGGCGAGAACCAGACGACGTCGCGTGCGTCGTCCGAGTGTCAGTCACTCGAGAAACTTGCAATCATGCTTTATCGATTAGAGATTTGAAATCGTATGCGACTCGCTTATTATATAACATATCCGGACGTGCGCGTAGTTTTACGCGTCGTAATCTTGGGCGTAATCTTGGCGCCGGACACGTTTCAAAGATCAAAATATCGTTTCCCCTGGCTTACAAACTGGCTTCGATATTGAATTATGTAAGCGTATAGTTTGTGCGACGTGTCTTTTTCTCGATCAGCAATCAGAGTACCGAGAAGATCTGCTAATATTTATTGATATCTACATTTATTTATATGTACTGATATTAATGTTACAAAATTATATATGTACAATGTTCGTGAGATGGGAACGCGAGCGCGCGTCAAAATGATCTTAACAAGATTTATTTCGAGATTTATTCCGGTTTACGTATATCAGCGAAAAAAAAAACATGATCAGCCGGGAGCAATTCTTTCCCTAATTCTCATTTCTTTACTTCTTCCGTCGCTACGGGACTCATCGATTTCAGATTTTTGCACATTGCAATAAAGATTATTATTTATTATTATTCTCGCGAGACGTCGAACGGGTGCACGCAATGATCCGCAATGATGTCAAAACGTGACGTTGACAAAACGAGCGCGCGATAATTCGTCCGACTCACTGCAGGCCTTTTTTATTCTCATTGTCGTTCCACTCGGGTTGGAAACCCGAGTTGCATCGAACGCGCGTGCAAACCTGGGGAGAGCTTATTCGTGCGTTCTTGCGATCGGTCGAGCGAGCGAGCGAGCGGGGCTCGAATTGGAGAACGCCGACCTCAGCGTCGTTCCGCCGAGGATCTGCTCAACGAGCGTGCGTTTTGAACGCGCTAATAACGCACCTCCGCGACCCCGACGGTTGACGCACACCAACGTCGGAAAGGGAGAACTATCGTATTCGATCGGTGCAATATTACTATTATAAAAAAAAAAAAAGAACGCGATGAGAGCGTTGAATTCGCATATCTCATACATGCAGGAACGTTCCGATATCGGAATAATCGCCGCACGCTTGTGTTGGCGTTCAACGTCAATATTTTAATTATTAATTAATTGCGGTGTCAATATTTTAAAACAATTACATGATAATTTCGCTACATTGGTCTTGTATCTTATTTGGGGATGTTATACTCGAGTCGGCAAATATGTGCGCTATCTGAAACGTTACGCACAAATAAGAATGCACGTTTTCGACGCCTGTGGAACGATATTGCACGATTAAATTAAAAAAAAAAAAACTTGCTACGACATCGCGTTTTACTGTTCCTACGAGAAAAAAAAGAATAGTAGTGACCTACGCGCTATTTTCTCGGTTAACTCAGACAAGTTTAACTCTTCGCACCTCCTTTTCCTGTTGGCGTTAATAACGAGTGTATTTTGCCTCCACACGCACGCCCGTTCCCTCTTTCGTGAGTGCACGGCCGGGCACGTACGGCTCGTGCTAACTGCGCCTCTTTGTTTTTCCCCCCGGCACCTCGTGACACGTACGGGTGTATCGATTCGACTCCGGCATTTACGCACGCACTCCCGGCCGCGGCCCGAAAATCCAAAGGGAAATGCAACGCGTGACAAAATACACGCAGCTGATATACCCGGGCTCAGCCCCGAGGCCTTGGCCACTCCAAAGTTGGAAATGCCCAGCGCCTTGAATGTGTTCCTCGATGAATTTTTAGGGTCGACCCTTTCGCGCGAACGAAAAGGGTTCATCGTCCGAGATATTTTTCAAAACATATCGCATGTTCCTGCCTTATCTGTCTAAACTCCAAACTAAAACTCTGGCAAAGTCCGCTTCGAACTGAACGCGAAGCAATATCGCGGCACTTATTTGTGCCTTCGAAATTTAATTCGGGGAAAAATCTTGAAATTTAGGCTCTTATAATTAAAAGAGACCTATTGGTGTCAAGATATTCTTGCTAATAAAAATTGCTAATAAAGACCAATTGGTGTCAAGATATTCTTGCTAATCTTGGATTTTTAATTTTTAAGGGAATAAACTAATCTTCGATTTCTAATTTTTAAGGGAATAAACGTCGCCTTTTCTCTATCCCCTTATTTTCGGAGACGTACTGTATATTGCACGTTTTGATAAATCAAAGAAATGTGTGCGTTTAGGAACGAGGAAACGGAAACGTTCGCAATAAAACGGAGTACGACATAGGGGCACATATTATACTTCCCGTTATATTAACAATATATTTAACTTTTAGTCGCCGGTGGTAACCGGCGAATATCGCGCTGCATTTACCTTCGTTAATCCGTGCAGCGATACAAACACACTTGCGCACAGGGATGAGTTTTAATTTTAATACTCGATGCTAAACGATTCTCGTCGTTTTCTTCTTTACTTGCAGGGAATGACTGGCGGCAGACGGGGAATGACAGTACGATAGATGTACGCCATTCGTCTTCCGTTTCAACGGTTAATCTTCCTCGAGAAGATCATCATCGAGATTGACACCCTGGAATAGAAAAATGAAGATAATTTAGTTATTTTATAAGCACAAACCTTCCTCAATATTAATGTTTAGGGAATGTATACAAGCATTGATAAAATAATAAAAGAACTAAAAGATCATTTGAACTTCACAATCCTTCCCCCCCCTCCTCCGTCCTCTCTTAAAAAATCGTAAAAACGAGAAATATCGAAACGCAGGTATTCCTAAACACTCGCATCGCGAGTGAATGGAAAAAAGGGAGGTAGAGCGTGACAAAACGTAGTAATGGTCGGAACCTTATAGTAGGAGGGGTACGGTTCGACTCCGGAGTCGAGTGTTATGGCAACAAGTCTGTAAACAAAATGCGGCGTGACTGCCTCGCAGCAAACAAGCCCTCGAGGCCTTTCGCAAAAGCTCGCAGAGAAAAAGAGAAAGAGAGAGAGAGAGAGAGAGAGAGTTGCGCGCGTACCACTGTTCTCCCGCGTTCGGGATCAGTTACACCACCGTGGACCAGAGGCTTGATTATCTGCCGCCGATTTTCGCGTTGCATACGTACATTTGAATGCAGCCTGACGGTGAAGCTGCATAAATCTGAATGCATAAATTCTTTTCGAGAGAGCGAGTTAATTTTGAAAATATATTTCCATTAATTTCGCAGCGTCGTTAATACCACGCGGCATCGTCTAAATGGATTTTGCGGTGTATTGGGCTGTCCTGCTACTTTTTGCATTCACCGTTCACTTGTATCATTTGCGCGCCACGATTTGCTCTTTTTTTTTTTTTGGCGACGCATTAATCGCGTTACACGTGTACCTGCCCCCGCGATATATAATATACACGTACGGGAGTTGCGTAAATACGACGTGCATTTCGGTGTATTTTGCACGTGTGCACGGGATTTGTACATGTATAGTATATATGCCCCGTCGCGCAGCCCCCTTTCTCTTGCCGTGTTTTGGTAATGCTATACCCGTCTAAAGTTACGCCCATATTTAAGAGCATTAAACCGTCGCCTAATTGTACGCCCTCCCAACTCTTATTTGTTCGCGCCTCCTTCGTTTTCGGCTTATCTTCGACGATCTTACGAGGCTCGATGCTTATATTACTAGACTCTTATGTAGATTATCGCTACCCTAAAGTAAACCGTTCACTCGTTCAATTGTAAAATGCCTAACAGTTGCAAAATGTTCTTGATTGTAGAATGCATATTTTTAGAAATACAAAGCGAATAAGAAGGAACGAGACTTAAGCGGCGTCTACAATGAGATTTGAGATTTAAAATTTAAAAAAATTGACCAATCATATAGTCGATTATTCATTTCAATAATCGACTATGAGTGATCAATTTTTTAAATCTTAAGTTTTACGTCTCATTGTAGACGTCGCTTTACATAGGGAATAAAAGCAAAGTTGAAATTATGCTTGTATGCCATGTGTGTGTGTGTGCGCGCGCGCGCATATGTGTAAAGAATTATTTTAGAAATATTACAAATAATTCATCACACTCACTGTAGTATCGATATTATCGTCGATTTCCAGATCGATGTCTAGATCGTCGTCGTCCACTGTGAGAGGCCTGGAACTACTCGTCGTGGGCTTCGTCGTTACTTTCTCAGGTACTTCTTGCTCCGCGGTGAACGCTTTACTTAGGAAGAGGCTGTCCTTCACTCCTGATATCGAGAGATCTTGCAGTCTGTCGATCATCGCTTCGGTCGGCTTCTCCTCGCTCTCGGAGGTGCCGCTCACGCTGCCCTTGTACTGGAACGCGCCCGATTGCTCGGCGGCCAACATATCCTCCAACGGTTTTCGCTCGACATTAGGCTAAAATTAATTTAATGTTGTTCAATTACACAATTTCTTTGTAACGCATCTAACAATATGTAAATATTTATTCTTAGATACATATATTTTATATGCAAATATATATATATATATATATAGATATTCGTTAAAAAAATTTATGTGATTACGAATTATCTTTGATTTCACAAATGACACGGCGAGTCGCTTTGTCGGCGAAACCCAAGATTTATCGTCGAGCGCGAGATCGATTTTATATATAGTTCTCCCGAGCTGTAACGACGCGATAACAAAGATGCGGGGACGTAAGATTTTTATTATCAGTAACAAGCGTGACTCGATTTTATCACGTGATTACGAGGACCTACAGAAAAATATTATTCAACTCCTTCACTGCGCTTTTGCAGCTATTATTGTACCTGTCGCTCGAGATTGAGACGAATAATGGACTGATCTCGGCGAGATGATTTGCGTCGTATTAATACCACTGCAGTTTATTGTTTTTCGATCAATCGGCTTGGCGCGCCGCTAATCCGCGTATCCACAATTCCATTTCGATAACTTGAGATTCTAATATTTGATTCTTATTTTAAGTTAATATTATCGCTAGTATCAACAAAATATAATCGTACCGTAACGGTGGGAAATGCAGACGCTGGAATCTTTCTCTTGCTTTCCTCCCGCAAGAACTTCTCCGCCTTCAGGGCTTCTCTGTATCCGGGGAAAAGATTCTCGTACTGCTCAGGATCCGCCAAGCTCTGCCCGGCCTTCTCGCTCACCGCCGACAGCTTCTCCTTCCACAATTTGATGATGGACGAGATTTTGCTGGGCGCGTACGTCCTGGCGAAGAACGCCGCCTCGGGAATTCTGTCCGTCTTGATGAGGATGTCGAGACACTTGTCCACGTCGCCCAAGATGAAGTTCGACAGGAAGGAGATGTTGTTCTTCCCCGTGTCGTCCGCCACCGCGCCGAGCTTCTGTATCATATCCGCGTTCCCCGTGCTGGTGGCCAGCAGCAACAGGCCGCCGAAATCCTGCGCCTGATGCAGGCACTCCTGCGCCAAGCAGAGCTTGCCCTTCTGCGTGGCGAGGGACGCCAGTTGCCGCCACTTCTGCTGGCTGTTCGCTTCCTTGGCGAGGGTGTGCGCGGTCGCGAGGTTTCCCAACGCAAGTGCCAGCTCGAATCTGTGCTCGGGGTCCGTCGACACCGCGAGAGCTTGCTCTTTGAAACCCTGTAAGATTGAGATAAAGTTGAAAAAAAAATTCTCGATATAAATCACTTGCGACGGCAAATGTCACGACAAATTGCACACCTGCTTTTCCAAGAAGTGAGCCACTCGCGTTCGGTGCTCCTTCGGGACTGTCGGCAGTACTCTGTTGGCAGTTTCAAAATCTTTTCGCATAACCGCGGTCTGGTACTCCAGCACTGACAGCAGCAACGAGTACGAGACGACAGACAGTTCCTTGTCGCAAAGGTATAATCTGTTGTCCCTCGGTACGTATCCCAGCAAGTACATCGGTCTGTCCAGGTGGGAGACAGTGACCACTTCGCCGCCGACGAAGTAATTAACGCGATTGACGCTGTTGGTGTAGATGAAACAGTCGCCGACCCACAAGCCAGTTTTCACTACCTCGCTCATTTCCGCTACCATCTAAATATGTATATTGATAAGAATTAGAAATGGAAAATACTCAGAACTCGCTAAATCTAACTATATAACTACCAAGCTAAATATAATTAGAGCGTACGAACGTACCTCGAACGCGTTTTCAATGTCCTCGGCGTTTTCGGTGGCATTAGCGACAACGTCCGCGTGATACTTCAGTATAAAATATTGATCCGACGTGGCTAACGCCACCAGCGACGCGTTCTCGGCCCAGTACACGTGCGTGGGCTGTATGTCTATGCGACGGATCAGCTTTAGCGAATCCCAGTCAAAGAAGGAGAGGCCAGACCCGGACGACACGCCGAGTAAAAATCCGCCGAAGATACCTGCAAGCGACAAAACGATATACAGGAGTCAAGTCGACGCGAAGATGACATGAGAGATAAAAGATGTCGTACCATCCGCTCCGAAATCCGGCTTGAAGCTCTTCTTCTCCTTGAAGTTCTTGAAGACCTTCACCGTCGTGTTGCTCTCCCGCACCGCGTACTGGCTCGAGTCCGCCGCCCACACGAATTCCGACGCCTGCCCGAACGCCTTGTTCCTCAACGCCATCGACGTGTATATGATGTACTCCCCGTCGCCGCAGACCACCAGGAACCGTCCGTTCGGATTGTGCTGTAACGTCTGCGGATATATCTCGCAGGCGCCCATGTCCTTCACGGCCAGCGGCAGCCGCTCGCCGTCCTGCGCCTCCTCGCCCAACGCCTTCAGGTTCACCTGCTGGATCTCGCTGTGACGTGCCCACACGATCTTGCCGCCCAGCGAGTCCATCGAGACGGCCGGTTCCTCGCGGCCGACCTTAACCATAACGCTACCCTCGTCGTACCCGATGGCGACGTTGTTCGAGCCGCGCATGCACGCTATGGTCCACACTCTCTCGAAGCCGTAATTCAGGGAGGACTCCAATCTGTACGTTCCCGCGTGCCAGATCCTGACGGTGCCGTCCTCCGAGGCCGTGAGAACGATCGGCAGCTCCGGATGGAAGCACACGGCGGAGATGTTCTGCGTGTGGCCCTCCAGAGTCTGCACGCAGGTCTTGTTCTGATAATCCCAGATCTTGACGTATCTGTCGTCGGCGCCCGATATCAGGTACGGCTTGTCGCCGCCGTGATAGTAGTCCACGCAGTTGACACCCTTCTCGTGGCCCTCCAGAGTAAAATTGGCCGTGGGCGAGCCGAGCTGCCACACTTTGACGGTCCTGTCCAGGGAGGCGCTGGCAAAGGTGTTGTTGTCCTTCGGATTAAAGACGACCTGCATGACGTAGTGCGTGTGACCCTCGAACACCTGCTGGCAGATCCAGGACTTCTCCCAGTTCCACAATTTTATCCACATGTCATCTGCAAGGAAGACACGTCGCTGCGTTGTATAAATTTATGGGAATAAATTCAAGCCTGATGGACAAACGACGTTTTAACTACCTACCACTGCTCGTAAGTATGAACGGCTGTGTCGGATGCACGGCTATACATCTGACGTAATCGCTGTGCGCCTCGAACGAGTGCACGCGCTCCAGGGTGTTGTAATTGAACACGCGGATCTGCATGTCGTCGGAGCCGGTGGTGACCCAGTTCTTGCGCGGCACGAACTTGGCCGTACGCACCGGCAGGTCGCACACCTCGAACGTCTTCACCAGGGTCTGCGTCTCGTGGTTCCAGATGTTCACGTTGCCCTGATACAGCGAGCACAGCATCCATGGCTCGGTCGGATGGAGATCCACGCTCTTCACTCTGTCCGATCTGGCCGTCAGCTTCCGCTTGATGTCTAATCTTAGAGGCTATACGGCAGAGAGGATTCTCGATTATTTAAAATTCGTTGCGCGATGAGCTCCGTACTGTGCTCTTTTTTTTTTTTAAATTTGCTCATCGAAACTATCATCTTACAGTGGTTTTTATTCCAAACGTGTGCACGTCACGTCTGCGAGATTCGCGTTAAATTTATTCCTCTCGCGGAATTTGTGTGGGGAAAAAAAATTGAAAGCAGAGAAACTGAGTTACGTTAGGTGGGTGGATTTTTCGTCATCCTGGCAAGGTAGAGGATGTTTTGACGTGTCAGGGAACAAACGTCAACGCGACGAGCGAACGGAGTATCGGCGCTCGCGGGTATTGTTGCGTGCCGAGACACGCTCTCCCTGCGTCTCGTTAATCTCGTCTCGCTACGGTATTTCTACGTACCATCTTGTTACCGTTGATTCTTCACCGTATCCACTATTACGACCGCTGTGACTGCATTAACAGTGCCTCAAACACGACACGCCTGCCATGAAGTTAGGACGTGGCTGAATGCCGCGAGAGAGGAACCGAAATGGCGCCTGCACCCGGTGAACGGCGGTACCCGTCGAATTCCGCACGGGCAAAGATTACCTTTCGAGCGCGCGATCCGCATGGTAATATTACTCGCTGGATAACGTTTATCGCACGGTAATGCAGGCAATTATCTTTTGGTAATACAACTCAATAGATAATTGCCTGTCGATAATGCAAGCAATTTGATAAATGCAGATAATTATTGCAGGTGATAATGCAGATCGATTGTAAGCAGCATCACTTTTGAAGATAAAAATTAATTAGTAAATAAATCTTCAAACTTAACAGGATTTTACTTTTATCTTTGTTTTGATTGTTTGTACTTTTATGTTCTTTTTTCCTTTCTGTTTCCGTGGAAAAAGTTGTAATACAAGGAACTATACACTTTATCGTTAATATTTTGCTGTAATTATATAATATTAATATTAATATTAAAATAGATAATTAATAAATAATTAATATTATTAAGAATAATGAGTTTTAATTTTTTCTTTTTCTTTCTCTCCCCGGGAAAAATTTTTTCATATAAGAATTACATATATAAATATATATATAAACATGTATAAAAATATATAATTATATATAATTATACATAATTAAATGCGAAATATGTCCATACATGTCCATACATGTTTCTTTTCTTTGTAAAATTATTAATTGTTTGATACAATTGAAAAATGATAATAATAAAAAGAAAATATAAAAAATAATTAAAAGAATAATTTTTGCATCGTTTTTTTTACAAGAAATCAAGTTTTAAGAAATAAGAAAAAATTGTTCATATATAATTACATATATATATATTTTTTTAATAATTTATGTATGATTATATATGAGCAATTTTTCTCATTTCTTTAAACTTGATTTTTTTATAAAAAAAAACAATATAAAAATGATCCTTTTAATTATTTTTTATGTTTCCTTCTTATTATTATTATTTTTTTGTATTAAAAAATAATTTTACAAAAGAAACATATATTGATATGTATGGATATAATTTGCAAATATATAATTATATATAATTATATATTTTTATGTATGTTCTTATATAAAAAATTTTTTCCCGGGTCTCTCGCTTCCTCTTTCTTTCTATTGCTTTCCTCACGTTCTTTTGCCATTACGCGTCACTTTTCAAATTAACGCTGACTAATTTGCCGATAAGAGAACGGTATTACGTGAAACACGTTTATTCGTGACGTGTTTTTACGCGCGTACGACAAAATATTAAATTTACCTGACGGATCACGTTTAAATCAGCGGGATAAATTGGCGGCGGGGGATCAATAATGACGCATTGTTACGATTGAATTCGCTAGCGTTGCCTGGCAGTGACACGTATTCGATATCGGTTTCCCTGATTATTACGAGACGAGAGGAATGCGCAACAATATATCCAATCGGACAGGAAAAAAAGCGGCGCAGGTGGACGATCGGACGCATAGTGTGATTTACGTCGCGGCGAGCTCTTCAACTCGAATTGAAACCGCATTAACGGCACAATGTCCTTTTCAGTTGCGCGCTACGTTTCTCATCATCTGCATCTTCTTCTCTTTTTCGGTATTTCGAGTTTCATTAACGTTTCTCGCCCGAGTTTAATGCAAATTCTATTAACTAATTTCACGCGCAGATTTTTCGCCGAAAAAAAAAATGAAAAAACGATTCGTAAAAGAAAATTAAAAAATCTTGCAGTGATCGAGATGTGCGGTCAAACGGGACTGGCGCTCACCTTGGACGATAAGATGGCATTGTACCAGAATTGCACGATTTTCGACACACCGGATATATACGGCGGTCCAGTGTGCGGCGACGACGGCGTGACCTACGCCAACAGTTTTTACTTAGATTGCAAAAATCATCATGGTCGCGGGACTGGTAAGTTAATCTCCTTTATTTCTCAGTTAGAAAATATTTACGACAATACGTCGTATATGCAAAAATATGTATATATCACAATTTTAAAATTATAATGAGATATTAATTTGTAAGTCGTGCTTTACAAATATATATATATATATAATTAAAGTTATATAATATAGTATCAGAAGTTTTGAAAAATATATATACTAAATGCTGTTAATCATAATGTTTCTTGAGTATGTCACTAATTTTTCAAAATATATTAACTTCTGTATGTTGACAAAAATGCATGATAACGCATAAGAGTATTGATAATGCCTTAATTAAGCTGAGGATAATATATAATAATCGAGATATTGATCGATAAGTACATTTCAAGTCGTATAGAAAAATTTAGATAAAATAAAAAAATTTTGTTTAAAATTTTTTTCAATAACTTAAAATTCTTTTTAGTTGCCACGTTGCACTCCGGCCCGTGCTTGGAGAACGAACAATACTGCAGCGTCAATCTCTATTATGATCCGGTTTGCGGTTCGGACCAAAAGATTTACAGTAATATGCAATCTTTGCTATGCGTTCGTCACAAACAATTCAGTGGTAAGCGCTAGGTGATAGTCGTCTCGTCTTTCGCGTGTATATTTAATGAATATATCTATTTTATTTTAATATTAAAATTGAAGTTGACAAAAGTTCGATAATACGAATTTGAATTTACGTCATAACATTTTCTGCTCTTTCCGCGCGTACTTAAAAAAATTTCCTAAGTACATTAAAATTTTATCAAGAGAAATATCTTTGATGCCTTTGCAGATAATTCAATACATTTAATTTAATAAAGATAATTTAACTTATGAAGGCTTAATTTAATATAATAAAACCCTAATTTTCTCGGAACCGAAAGATGCGAGTGTATTACCGATATTTCGATGGACCATATTTTCGTTAATCGCGAACAAAAAAAATTTTCACCACCCGCGAATCTTTTCCTGTAATCCGTTTCAGATCTAACAGCCGTGCCGATAACTGACTGCCCACAAAACGATCACTGCCACCGAGGCGGCACCGAACATTACGGGGTGAATCCGGTCTGCGCCAGTAACGGGCTCACTTATCAGAACGCGGCGCAGCTCAAGTGCCTGCAACGATATAATCCCGGTAAGGGATTACGGCGGAAGTTATACGGCGGAAGCGTTTAGTTATGACTCGCCTAATTGCCCGGGCAAGCAGTCGGAAATAACGTTCAAACTCCTCCGCGCGCGCTCTCGCCGCGCGCCGGTACCTTCGCGCTCTCTTAAGTCTCGCGACGCGTTGGCGCTGAATTAATTTACGGTCCCGCTTTGAACTAAATGTTTCGTCGAGCATAACCCCCCCTCCCCCCGCCGCCATCTCCGGTTATCCCTCTGCGGACGATGGATTGCGATTTACATCCGAGATCAAGATAGTTATCCGACGGCGATGCAGATTTTCTATTAACTTCATTAAAGCGCGGAACGACCGTATAGCGAGATACGCCAGAGATTTTTCGTGTGTATTGGAATTATCGTAATTCCTAGAGAACGGAAAAATTAGAGCAATCAGAATAATCGCGACGAGACCAAACGCGACACTGAGATAATCTTTAAAGCAAAAATTGAACTTGAATGATAATCGTATAGAAAGCAGATTCACAAAATTGAGATTCGTATAAAATATTCGCGGTTGTAAGAATTAATCGATTTTTTTATACATACTTATCACGAAAATTATACGAAGAATCACTGAGAAACGTTACCTGCGTATTTATGATATATTCAATTAATCATGAATCACACAGCCTGATCACGATTTATTTTATTTTCCTAGGATTGCAAATTATTCACGACGGCGGCTGCCGCGTCGAATTTGTTCACGGGCTTTATGCCGCGACGGCTTGTGACATCGCAAAAGCGAGATACGAGTGGAATCCGGTCTGCGCGTCCGATGGAGTCACGTATCCAAATCCTTTCGTCTTTCTTTGCTACCGCCCACGTGCGTAATAATAATATTAATTATTAAAAAAACGTAATAATGTGCTATTATATAAAGTATCAAGTATAAATTATATATTTATATATAATTATATATATTATATATATCATTATATATATCAATAAGCTCTATCGACGGATGCTTTCGCCAGTTTCAAATCGATTTCTCCAAAAACAATGCCGAAATATCGATAAAATTTTATTTTACACAATTAATTATTATTGCGAGTTAATCGTAGTCTTCGTACAACAAAAAGATTTATTTTGGAGATGGATTTTATTTTGGCGAATACATTTAGGTTTTATTGACAAACATTTATTTTTTTGACAAAAATTCACTGAGTTTTATTCATTTCAATAGAAGATTTCATATTTGTTCGTCAAAGAATAGATACATGAATTAAGCAAAAACTAATTTCTTATAATACACATTTTACATATAGCTCGTTTCTTCATTCAATAGTGAAGCCTCCGAGAATATAGCTTACTTTATTAATTTAGAAAGTCTGCGCAAGCATAGCTTACTTTATAATTCAGAAAATCTGTGCAAATATAGCTCCCCCTCCTTTTTTTTAAATTCAGATCTGACAGTAATGTCCAACGGGGAGTGCAACACGCACAGTCACGAATCCTGCGTAGAGGCGCACACGAATACGACGGTCTTGCCGAACGGCGAGTTCGCGAACGACGACTTCACCACGGGCGACGAGGTTTGCGGGAACGACGGTCGCACGTATCAGAGTATACATCACTTGCAGTGCCACACTCGTCACGACAAATGTGAGTCTTGTGTCGCGAGAGGGAGAGATGAAAAGTGAAAGACTCGACGATAAATAGCTATTTCAAGGTGCACCCAAGTGTGCCGGTCCAATTGTTGAACACATCGCCGACATCTCTCGAAATTCAGTCATTTTCATCACGCAATCAAGTTGTGGATTAAGTTTAGAAAATAAATTTAAAAAATCTCTATGAAAAATTTGATCTTTGATAAAATCCTCGTACAAGTGATATAATTTTTACGACTCTTATATATCAAAATTAAAGAAAATAATTATATTTCAAAATATACTTTTTCTCATTTTCTCTCATCATTCCTTTTTATCATTGTTTTTATGAGAATTATTTTAGACGTGGACAATTACATTAACGTCCCGCGATCTTATTTGTCCCGCAGATGTGTTTCTGAAGCATCACGGAGCCTGTTCCGGGCCGGACGATCAACCTTGCGGTTCGGTACCGGATGAGGAGCACAGACAACCGGTGTGCGGCACCGATGGCCGGTCCTACGTGAGTCCGGAGGCCCTTTGGTGCGCTAAATTACGCTCCCCGGAAAGGGGTAAGATTCGTAAACTGCACGGCACATCCATGATAAATCACGGATTATTCCGTCTTCGCTAAGATGCTCCCGCGTTCGCGTTAGCGCGACGGCATTTTCACTCGGAATTCTCTTCGCTCATTAACTTGCTTACGTCGCGTAAAATTACGTATACGCGTATATACGCGCGCTTCGCGTAATTTCGGTTTTGTCTCAGACGTGGATTTTCGATATAACACACAGGAAAAACGCAATTTTACGCGTAATTTTCGGGGCTATGTACTTTCTGACGTGCACCTTGTTACGTGTGACGTGTCGCGCGTCAAACGGCGGAAGAGAAGCGATCGCGCGCGATAAATTCTATTGAGCCATACGCGAAATTACGCCGTAGGACAAATTGCGGCGTATTCGTGTGCGACAACGGTGATTGTTCCCGATTAAGATCATATCTCATGCATTGTCGAGTGTTGAAACGCGATGATGAGTACATGGAGCATAATTGCGGGAGACATCGTTTGCTCTCGAGACAAAGTGTTTTTCGATCGACCGATTGCATCTTCAAAGCTGGATAACGAGACATTCTTCTTTTTTTGTTAGATATCTCCTACAGGTACGACGGTCCATGCTAACGAAGATATTGTCAGAAATTATGCGGCGGAAGGAAGAGTATCAAGCACAGAAGAAACTGTATTATCATGCGCGTTGGAAAAATATCAAAATACTTGAATTATGCGGAAGAATCAGAAGCTTATTTCTCCAAGACGTTAAAAACGATATATATAAATAAGTAAAAAAAAATTCTATATAAAATATAACCTGTATACAAAAATATAACTCTAAAATAAGAGTAAATATGTAAACAATATCACCAATTTTATATTTTATCGCTATATGGACAGAGAGAAAAATAATGATATTTATTTCTCTTCTTTTTATTCCTGTTATAAAAACACCAATTTTGGGCTGGTGCTCAACATTAGTGCATAACGATGATAAATGCGTGATACGAATTTTTTTTAGAATTAATTTTATATTATATATTATACATATTATGTTAAGATGTAAAAAAAATGTAATTAAACGTAATTTAGTAAATAAAAATGTATTGTGTATCATTATGGATTTTATTTCTATTTCTCTAATCCCATCACTTTAACAATCCGTTATAATATTTAAGAAATATTTAAGAATTAAAGAAAGAAAAAAATAATAATATAGTCTTTTAATTTTCAACTCTTATCTCTCAAGAATGAAAATTCACGGAATTAAAATTCTGGAGAGGTGAAAAAGAGAATTTCGTCGAATTAGATTGTATCATACTTCCCTTTATCCCTAAAAGTTTATTGCACTACCGCTTGCAGAAACATGTATATACATTGTATGATAGTGCATATGATGTGTAAATGCATGTGAGCGGTGCCTCGAGCTCGGGTCCACGGGTTCGTTAAGTAAGTCTAAATGACTGCGCGGATCAGTCATCCCGGTGGGACGCGCGAATGGCATAAGGTAATCTCGTAGAACGTCATATATAATTTATCCGAACGATGTTTTCCCACGTAATTCCAACGTTCGGAAGAGAGGGACAGAGAAACAGAAGCTATTTTGAATGGGTTAAGGTCGCGTCCAGGGCTATCCTTTTGAACGATCACCGCGGTTCCATAAAAGGTATACACGCAGGACGAAATGCAGGCAAAAGAGAAAAGAAACGAATGATGAGCGGTGATAGCGTTACATGTAAGGTTTTTTGGGATAATTCATATGCACTTCAATTTTAACAGAATCCTAATCGATTTATTCGGTGAGAATGTATCAATTTCGCGTCGATTTGCGTAGCGCGCAATGATATCGAAAGAAGAAAATCTTTCCTTGAAAATTTGAACAGCATTGCGAGAAGACAATTTAGAATACAGTTCATTATTATCTACAAAATAATGAATTATTTAAACAATTTGAAATTAAATTTTAATTACCAACTATTTTTGCGTAAACTTTGTCATTTTGTATGTATCGAAATTATGACTATATATGTATCATTTTAAATCCTGGGATTTAATAATAATGTTCTAAAAAAATCGTTTTTGTTAAAGGTGTAATCGCGATTTGTATGAATGATATAAAAAATTTCCAAAAAAAATTTTTATTTTAAAAATCAAATGATATAAAAAATTTTCAAAAACAAATTTTTTACTTTAAAAATTACATGATATAAAAAATGGTGGTGGTGGGTAGTTAAGATGGGTGGAGGTAGTGAGTGGTGGTGGTTGGTGGTGGTGGTGAGTGGTTCTTTTAGATTCTTTCGTTTTAAATTCATACCACGCGTAAAAATAAATAAAATAAATAACTAGTGGCAGTAGAAACACTACTAAAATGTTATAGCAGTGGCATTACTACATTTCAGTAGGGTTTTTACACAAAAGGTACTCCTGAAGCTGGCGATACTTAATATAAAATTTTTAACGATAATCGCACACGATTTAGAGACGGCAGAATAACTCGAAGAAAAATGATTGTAATAAAGTGTGAGTCAAAATTATTTCAAAATATTTTTAAATTAAGTATGTAATTATCAGTACATTCTTAAGATAAAAGGTCGCAATTTTATATATACTTATATGTAATAAAAATTGAAAAATTAAATGTCTTGTACATATATATCATATAGTGCTTTCTTAATGAAATCGTGTTTGAATGTGCTTTCGAGAAAGCGCGCTATACGACGGGCAGCCATAAAGGCGCCCGCCGAATTAATGGCGTCCGCCGTATTAATGGCGCGTGCATACCGTGTGCACTACTGCGGAGCGGCAGCGTCGCCACAATTAGTATTAATTATATTGCATAGAAAACCGCTGTGATTGACTTAAGATTAGCAAAGTAGAATAGGTAAAAATTTTAAGTACTCTATGATATATATAAATAGAATAATAAATA